TTTAGTATTATGTTTGGGTTCTTTTCTCTTAATTTTTTTTTGTATTTATGATAGGTTTCTGGTTTTTGATTACCATGAGGTTCATATATAATAACCTACATATATAGCAATCTATATTAAATTGATAGTCTCTTTAGTTTGACCTCTTCCTAGAAGCTCTATTCTTGTACTTCCCTCCTCTCATATTTTATGGTTTTTGATATCCTATCTAACCTCTTTTTGTGTGTGTGTATCTGCTACCCTATCATCATTGAAATAAATCGTACTTTTGTCTTTTGACCTTCATATTATCTTCATAGGTAGTTGATTTTCTACCTTTATGATATTTTTCCTTTACCAGTGATTTTATTGATGTTTTTTGATAATTTTCTAATATCTATTTGTAGTCTTCTCTTTCCCACTAAATAAGTCCCTTTAGCATTTATGGTAAAACTGGTTTCATGGTGATAAACTCCTTTAACTTTTGCTTGTCTGGGAAACTCTTTATCTTTCCTTCCATTCTGAATTATAACCTTGCTGGATAGAGTATTCTTGGCTGTAGGTTTTTTTCTTTAAGCACTTTAAATATGTCATGCCACTCTCTTCTAGCCTTTAAGGTTTCTGCTGAGAAGTCAGCTGATAGCCTTATGGGGCTTCCCTTGTGTGTAACTTGTCGTCTTTCTCTTGTGGCTTTTAGAATTCTTTCTTTATCTTTAATTCTTGACATTTTAATTATAATATGTCTTGATGTGGGCCTCTTTTGGTTTATCTTGTTTGGTGCTCTCTGTTAGCTTTGACTTTTGATTCTACAAACATTCAGGCTACATAAGAAACAATGTATTTAGAGTGAAGCATTAGAATGTAATTTGTTTTCCAGAATTCTCACTGTTGGACTCTGGAGAGGCCTTTGTACAGTAAATTAATTTTAAAGACTACTTTCTATGACTATATTAAAATAAAATAACAAATGAAATGGAGATCCTCTTCTCTTCTTTTCCCCTAATTCCCAAACAGTAATAACTTGGAAATTAAGAATGCATTCCTGGTTAGCCCATGGATCAAAGACTACATGAAAACTGAAATTACAAACTCTCTATAAAAGAGTAGAAAAGGATAAATATCAAAACCCATGGAACACAGCAAAAAACTCAGAGAGAAAATTTGTAGCCTTAAATTCCTTTGAGAAGTGGTAAAGTAAAAGGGAAAGAGAATGAAACATATTTGAAAACCTAAATAAAATTAATGTTTTTCCAGCAAAGTAAACATTACTGCAATTGATAAAGAAGTACAGAACTATAATAAAACAATTATGACTGACAGAGTGAGAAAGGTAATTAAAACTATACCTTTAACAAAGGCATTGTGAACCCCTGTACATGGCTGGCGGAAATGTGAAATGATGCAGGCACTGTGGAAAACAGTTTGGTGGTTCTTCAAAAAATTAAACACAAACCAAATGATCCAGCAATCCCACTTTTAGGTATATACCCTAAACAATTGAAAGCAGGGACTCAAACAGGTACTTGTACATCAATATTCAACAGCCAAAAGGTGGAAACAATGCAAGCATCCATCAACAGATCAACGGATAAATTAAATGTGGTGTATACATACAATAGGATATTATTCAGCCTTAAAAGGAAATGAAGTTGTGACACATGCTACAACTTGAATGACCCTTGAAAACATTACACCAAGTTAAATAAGCTAGGTATTAAAGATAAATATTGTATGATTCCACTTATATGAGGTACTTAGAATAGGCAAATTCATAGAGACAGAAAGTAGAATCAAGGTTACTAGGGACTGGAGAAAGGGTGGAATGTAAAGTTATTGTTTAAGGGGTAAAGAGTTTCTGTTTGGGATGATGACAAATTTCTGGAAATGGATAGTGGTGATGGTTATGCAAAATTGTCAGTGTACTTAGTGAACTGTACACTTAAACATGATTAAAATGGTAGATTTTATGTGATGTATATTTTACCACACTAAAAAGAGACAGCGTGATCAGATAGTTTCCTAACTGAGTTCTAACTAATCTCGAAAGAACAGATATTTCTCATGTTACTTAATTAATTTATACAATAGGAAAAAATGGAGTTCCTCAGATCATTTTTCGAAGCCAGCACAACCTTAATATCCAAATTTGGTAAAGATATTCCAAAATTGAAAACTATAAACCAATTTCACATAAGAGTATAGATACACCAGCATTAAAAAAAAAAAATCAAATAAAATCTGGTATTTTATCCAAAGAAGATTTATTAAGACCAACTAGAACTTATCCAGAAATACCAAGATGGCTCAATAGCAGAAAATATCATTATAATTTGTTTAATTAACAAACTAAAGGAGGAAAAAAAACCTTATAATTTCAAGAGAAGCTGAAAGCATATTCAATAAAATTTCAAAGAACACCCTAAATAAAATATAAATAGAATGAAATTACTTTCAAAATCTTGAAATTCTTTCAATTAAAATCAGGAACTAGTATAGATGCTCATTATTTCCATTAATACTCAACATTTTTGGAAGTTATAACAAGTGCTATAACATGGATTGTTTGGTAAAATACTGGAAGGGATTAAATCATTTCTTTTTTATTTATGAATATGATCATATATTTAGAAATCCAAGAATGGAAAGATATTAATAAAATAATTTTGTAGGTAAATAAATAGAAGATAAAATACAATAAATGAATAGATTCCCTATCAGTTAACAAGACAAAAATAAAAATAAGGAAAAACCCATTAAAATAACAATACAAGCATAAAATATTGGAAATGCATTTACCAGGAATGACATAGAATTGTTAGAAGGAAAACTATAAAGTCTCTTTGAATTATACAAGGTAATATTGAAAATATGGAAAAGATGCAATATTTTTAGATAGTCAGATATAACTAAAATGTCAATTCTGCTAAAATTAAAAGAAGAATTCCATGCAATTTCAGTTAGACTCCAAAGGATTTTAGTTTGGGAGAGATTTTATAAAATGACCTTAAATATGGAATAATAAATGCTTGAGAATATCCATGAAGAATATAAAGAAAAAAGGAGCTGAGATAGGTAACCTACCTTACCATTGTTAGAAATACAATAGTCATTGTGATAAACATCAATGTAGTATTGTTCTAAAACTAGAAAATTAGATAAAAAAATAAAAATGCGTTAAATGATTCCAGCGTATATGAGAGTTTAATACGACAAAGTTAGTATTTCAGCTCAGTGAGTAAAGGATGAATTATCAACCTAATAGACAAAAGAACGAAGAATAGAAATAAACATTTCATGGAAGAAAAAATCCAAATGGGCAACGAACTTTTAAGAAGATCCTCAAATTACTGATTGTCAGAGAAATGCAAATTAAATAAAAATTGGTGTTATTTACACCCATTAGATTGGCAAAAATGTGGAAAGAAGATAATCATTGCTGGCTGTAATATGAGGAAATGTAGACTTTCATATATTGGTAGACAAATGGAATTTTGCGGTCTTTTGGGAAAGTAATTTGGTAACACCTATTTAAATTAAAAATACATGCCTCCTTTATCCACAGTCCTGCCGCTGGGAATTTATAGTAATTTAAATTACTGTGTAGTTATATGCAGTAATAAAACCACCAACTTATAAAATTGTATCTATAAGAATTATGTATTACAAAATTTTTCAGGTGGGCAAAAATACATAAGGTTGGAAATACAATAATAAATGCCTATAACAGAAGAAGGCTCGAAATAAATGTTAGTTTTTCTACATTGTGGAATATTATACTACTACGCATTCATTAAAACTGATAAAAATTAGAGCTATACCAAGCGATTTAGAGCCATGTAAATAAAACATTTTTGAATGAGAAAAGTAAGATACAGAGGAGTTTGTATAGTATGATACAATTTTTATAATGAGTTCCAAACTCCTTATCAATGCAGGTGTGTGTGTGTGTGTGATTGCATGAGCTTGAAGTAAAGCATGGAAGTCCAAGCGCAGGGTTGTTAACACGTTACCAGATTGATGGGAGGAGGGCAGTAAATCTGAATGAGTTGGAGAGAAATGTTGGAAAGTGGTGGGATTGGAAGGAAGCAGGCAGAGGAGGAGATAATTAGCTTTTTCTTTACACATCTTTGTATAATTTCTTGCAATAAGCATGTGTAAATGCATAATTTGCAAAATATATATGAAAAAGAACCTTTAAAATATGGAATTAGGTTAAATTCTTTTCAAAACTTTAGTGGGGGGCCAGCTCCGTGGCTGAGTGGTTAAGTTTGCACTCTCCGCTGCGGCAGCCCAGGGTTCGGATCCTGGGCACGGACATGGCACTGCTCATCAGGCCACATTGAGGTGGCATCCCACATCGCACAACTAGATGGACCTGCGACTAAGATATACAACTATGTACGGGGTGGGGGGGGGGGCGGGTTGGGGGAGATAAAGCAGAAAAAATAAAAAAAGATTGGCAACAGTTGTTAGCCCAGGTGCCAATCTAAAAAAAAAAAAAAAAAAAACTTTAGTGGGTTGAATGGCAGCCCCTTAAAAGATATATCCGCTCAGAACATGCTAATATGATCTTATTTAGGAAAACCATCATTGCAGAATCGCCCCTAGAGTTGCTGGAGAAAGTACAGTCCTACCAATACCTTGAGTTTGGACATCTGGCCTCTCGAACTGTGAGATGATAAATTTCTGTTGTTTGGAGCCTCTAGGTTTGTGGTAATTTTTTATGACAGCCCTAGGAAATGAATACAGATACTAAACCTTTACTTCAATGGAAATTTTTTGTAAACTCCAATATGTAAAAAAAATTAGTCAGAGATGTTCTGGCTCACAAATGTGACACCTTGCCCCACCTCCCCCACCTCTATGTCATCACAGAAACACCAGGCCTGCTTGGAGCACAGCGTGAACACCACTGACTTAGTCCAAGCCCCTTCCTGTACAGATGAGAAGAGTGAGGCTTGAAGAGCGTTTCTCACCTTTTGACAAACTAAGCAAACTCGAATTGACTTTACGCCCCTCTCTTAATTTATCCCTTGGAAAGCTTGGGGTCGTTTGGAGTTTTTTATCACAGCTGGGTGTAGTTCAGTCAGCTCTTCTCTCAGCAGGACTTTGAGAATGCCATTTTTAAACTTTTCACAAATGTGTTTCACTCCCACATAATCACTTTCGTAAAGTTTTATTAACTTAAAACACTTTTCAATGGGTTTTTTGGGAAAGGATTTTCCATAACCCACTGGTTTCTTGATGAAGATCCCTAGATACGCATCTTTCACTTGAGATATGTATCCCTGATGAATTCTTAATTCTGTGTCTCTGATCTGTCACATGACCAAACTAAGCTGAGAATTCCCCTCACATCACTGCAGGCAGAAAGTTCAGGATATAAAAATGCTTGAGAAGTCAGGACACTGGGGGTGCAAAAGAATGAGTGCAGCTGGTATAAAATCAGGGAAGGGGACAAAAGTGCTGAGTAATTGCAGTCAAGTCTCCCTGTCTCCCAGTCCGCCACAGGATTCCTACAGAGTGAGAGAGACATTTTCCTCGACATGGATGGTGCCTTATTCCTACCAAAAAAAGGTTTTCCACCTTTCCCAAGTCGCCTCGCAGGGCAACTGAGGCTGAAAAGGCTCTGATGAGCTAGACGAGATGTGGAGAGACAAAGACCATTGTTGGGCGATGTCACAGCCATAATTTTGCAAAGCTTATATGGGCATCTTTGAGTGTTTGAGATAAGGACATGTCTTGTGCATTGGAGAGCAGAATTAACTGGGCTGAAGAAGTAGTTTATAAAGACCTCCTACTTGACTCTTTTGCAGTCACACACAGATATTGTAAGGATTTTCAACAGTAGGTTTAAAAGACCATGATTGTTCCATATTGGCGTAGGGCACATGGAAAGCAAAGGATGAAGAAACGTTGCAAAATCAAGATGATCAAAACAGAAATAAACACAAAAATGAATGGGGAAGAGCTTTTTCTATTTATCACAACTAAGGATTTGGTACATTTATAATGAGGAGGAATGCAGATGATACTATAATTACATTGAGTATATTTGTAGTTTATATATGTATGTCAGATTTGGTAAGCTGTTTCCAGTTTTTATTCCATTCCACGATGTGGGTTCAGTCCCTTTTGTTGGGTTTCCAGATAGTATAAATATGTCCCAAATATTGCACGGGACATACTTACACTAAATTATTTTTTATTTATCTGAAATTCAAATTTAACTGGGCATCTTGTGTTTTTATTTGCTAAATCTGGCAACCCTATGCTAAGTTGTTTGTGTCCTATTTTTATGACAGAGAACTGTTCTATTTCTCAGTATCTAGATGAAATAGGTGTTAACCTCACCAATTCCACTTTGTGGAAGTCTCAAGGGGTTTTCCAAATTGTTGGCAAATTTATGGGGAACTTATATTCCCACCTCCCTCTGGGTCTTTGTGTTTCTGCATCCTTGCCACGGTCTCACTAACTTCTGAATCTTGATGTGACACCCAGCTCTTTCTTCAGTTTCCATGAACAGCCTCTACACACACTCTCACACACGCACACCAAGAATGTGGTGTTTTGTTTGTTTATCCATTGGGTCATAACGAGAGGCAGTAACACCATAAAGTCCCTCTTTCCTCTCCTTCTTCCATCTACTGTACTTGAATCCCTTCTTCCTGGCAGCCCTCAGATAGCGAAATTCTTCAGTGAATCTTTGAGGTCAACTTTTTCTAAGGTTTGGATGGTGGGAATTGGAGAGAGGAACTCACCTTCTAAAATATTAAAATATTTTTCCCAACAGTGGTTGATCTTTCCTGAGGAGGAATTCTGCTACCAACTGTGAAGGTAATGCATTTTCTCCATCTTATTACATATTTATTAAAAGCAAGTCTACAAGGAAATTTGGGTTCAGTAATATGTTACATTGGAAAAATCAGTGTGAATTCATGTCCTTAAAAGATTTATTTTCCAGCTCTGTCATTGTAATAAATGGCCCAACAGCATGGACACTATTCTAATTTATTACCAACTTTCATGTGCACCCTTGGAGCACAAATTTTCATCCCCAGAGGGTAGTTGACTCTAAGTTTGGTGCAAAGACAAAATGAAATGGATCCAAACCAACCTGTTGTGAATGAGAAATCAAAGCCACTTCTTGAAACATCAGGGATAGAGTTTCAATGACAAAAGAGCCAGCAAATAATAGCAAAAGTAATAATGCTAATGGTTAAATCAGAACAAGTTCTGCCTGCAAAAAGTTGAGTTCACAGTAATACTTAAAAGAGAAAACACAAAGTGTGCAAAGAGGTACATGGAATACAGCAGAAGAATGATTCCAACAGGATCTTTATGTCTTCATTGATTTAAACAAATAGGAGAGTGTTGAAATTCATTGTTTTATTCTCTTTGGTTACCATGTTTCCATACATTTAGCACATATATTCATTTGTGCAAGAAATAAGGAGGAACTAAGATGAATTAACCAATATGACAGGACTTCTGCACAATGAGGCAGACCTTTTTCTTACTATAGAAAAGACCAGAAAAGAGGGACAAACTAAATTCTAAAGGACTTATCAGAATTAATGGTCTTATATAAGAATAACTTACAAAGGTATTGCATTTGATTCCAACTGGCATATAGGCATACACAATGACCATTACAAAACAGGATGTCCCCATATTATAAATTATCCAAATGTTCTGAGATGAAAAGCAAAGAGATTTAATTCCTCAACTCCTAGGAGACGAAGCCTCTACTCATTATGAATAAATTCCTATGAATTTTAATAAAATACTAATAAGAAATACATATATTTTAATAATTGAAACAAACCAGGTCAATGTATTATAGCGTCAAGGCAATGGCATAGGGACTTCTAGCTATGAGAACTTCAGGAAAGATAAGTCTTCAAAAATTAAAATTTATATTAAAAACAGGGATACAAGAGTCTCAGGATGTAATGAGTGAAAGTTTGATATAAAAATGCGGTTGGTGTATTGCAGAGACAGAAGTTTGCTGTACCTTGCACCATAGTACAAAGTGCCACACCACAAATGTAAATGAACCAGCCAACAATCCGGATTCTGGTCTTCTAAGCTGACATTATTTTTCTTTTAGATCCGGAAAAATGTTTTAAAAAATCCATGGACAGGTTGTAAGCATCAGTTCTGGTAATGCTACAGAAAGCTTAGGAAGGTATACAAATTAGAACCCTGGAAATACATAAAAATAAGAACAAAAGAAAAGTTTTATTTATTGTGTTAGCACTTTTGCTACCAGTATTATTTTAAGATCTTGAACGGTTATGGAATTATTGAATCACTGTGTTTGTGTATATTTTATTTCCTGTTTAGGGTATTTAAAATATTCAAAACAATCAGCCATACTAAATTGCTAATTGCAGTTTGAATTGTTTAAAGGAATTTAATTAATCAACTTTATAGTCAATAACTAAATGTCCACGAAAATTGATTTTCCAAGTTTTGCTTTTTAGATATGTAGATTTAATGAATTAAGCATTGGGTAAAAGGAATCATTACATTGAACAAAATAACTCCTGAGACGTAATTATAAAACAATTTTATTTTTGTCTTTTGCTGTTTCTTTACCTCAGTTCTATAGGGCTAGTTGTTCTCTGGCCTCTTTGAAAACGGGTCCAGGTCTGTGGTTCTCTAGTCATGGCTGTCTTAAGTTCACAGTCTCTACTTAATAATTAAAATGTCCGTCCCCATATACTAATCACAAGTCTAAACTTAAACTTGAGATTTCTGCCTATTGCTAACCTGAGCCAGCCATAGGCTGGAATCCTACAACTGGGAGAAGAGATGGTTGGCTGCCTCTCTAGCACCTGCATTTTTTATCTCCATCCCCTTCCCTTGGTCAGGCTAACTGTAATTCTGACCACTTTGTAGTCAGGGTATAGGAAAGGAGGAGAATGAAGGTAGGAGAGTTCTTAACTGACTGATACTACCATTAGCTGGTACCAAGTTCTCTGGGACTATTAGGAGACTAAAGTGGGCTCCTCTTTTAAGGGTACTTTAGAAACCCTCCCCTACCCAATTTTGAGAACATCTTGCTTGAAGTTCTTTTGACTCTGCCAAGTGCATCTTTGCTCACTGCTCTCTCAGCCCTTTAAAATTTCTTGATACTTTCAAATTCTCTCTGTTACAGTCAACTACTATGTAGTTCTCTTGGGTGGGACTTAAGATGACCCCACACTAGCTCTCCTGTGTGTGTCCCCAACATCTGATCGATGGAAAGTGTTCATGCATTCTTTGCTCTGAGTCTGGATTTATAAGCCAATACCAATTTTTTTGATCCACTGTCAAAACAGCAGTCTACCTTCTCTCTCACCCTTTAGATTTTTTATGAGTGAGTCACACGCTTTCCCATTGTGTCTCCAAACTGCATGTGGCATATATAAAGCTCTCCAAGTGATCTTGATAACGACTCATTAGATTCTCTCTTCTCTCTGGGACTGATGGGTGGGACTTGTGACACAGTTCTTCCCAAAGAAATCGTCCCACCCAAATTCTCTTCAAATATGTAACTCTTGATCTGTTTAAATCCTTCCAGTGAGTTTGTGGGTAAAAGACATGTGAATAGTTTTCAAAAACCTCCTTTTTGAATTCTGTATATTATCTACTGCCTCTTTTGGTATGCAATACCTTTTATATTACTTTGCTTCTGCCAAGCTTCCATTTTAATATGTAATAATATAAAGTACAAATTTAATGAGTGTTCTGCTCCATGCACAAAATCTTCTCTTCATTAGAGACTCTTACAACATCTGTAAAGATCTGAGCTAATGGACTCTTTGGATATTATAAACATCTGTCAATAGCTACATAAACTGGGTAGACATCCAAATGAGAACTACAGTTGAGATAAGGGAAAATCAGGCAAATTAGCAGCTCTACTTAGTGAGCAGTGCTTGAATAAGACTTTTTCCTGATATTCCATTAGCATGGTCTTTTATGTTTCCAATTAAGTTATTAGTACTGGGAGATCAAGTCAGAGCTACTTAAGAGCCTTTCATTGGTGGGGGGATCATAGGTCTTGGTTGTTAATTAACTGCGCAGGAGTACTCCTGTCTCCTTAGGTCTGTAATGGAAATCTTGGCTTGAAGCCTTAGCACTTTTACTGTTAGAAAGAAGCCCTGAGGTATCAGGTGATCTTTTTTCAATTTTCAAAAGCATTTATGGGCACCACGTAGATACTTTTTCCTTGAAGATGACTTTCAGTCAGTGTTTAATAATCTTTATTTTGGAATCACCTTGATTTTTTATTAAACATGAAGATTTCTAGTCCCCACCGCACATAAATTTGATTCAGTAGAACTCTGATGGGGCCCAGGTGTCAGCACTTTACATAGGACTGCAGCTGGTCTAAGGGACACACTTTGATCTAGAATTCTTCTTTCATGAAAAGGCTATTGTCCTAAAGAGTCAGACAAGCCACGCTGGTCACAACTACATGAGATTGACTGAAAAATTGATTGATACAGCTCTATCCAGAGGGTAATTTGCCACTGAAAATACCCTTTTCTTTTTTCAGTGTTGGAGGCATGGGGCAGAAGTCAACCCCAAGGCAATGATTTCATCGTGCCCCAGCATCAAATACCACTTTGAGTTATCCTCCCTGGGCAATTGGAAAAGGAACGTAAGTTTTGGAAAATCATTTATCTTCTTTTC